AGTGCCTCAGCAAAGGACATCGGCTTGCAATGCAAAGACTTTGGCTTTGCTTAATTTCTTTATATTTGACCTCTTGGGTCTCTGTTTGACTTTCTGCTCACGTAGATTGCCACGTGGCGCTTTTCCTTTGAGTTTCGATGGCGAGGCGTAACAATTACTTTTACCAAAAGAAACACTAAGGGTCCATTTGATTGGAAGGGTGAAAATGGGTAGAAAGAAAATGAATTCCAGGGAAAGTAATTGTCTAAAAATTGTTTTGTAAGGAATTGTTAATTAAGTGTGTTTGATTGTTATAATTTTCCACCTGGAAAATTTTTAACTTTTGTGTTCGTTTGGCTTTATTTTACATGGAAATTGTCCATTAAAGTGATAATTTTTTTCACAATTGGTTATAAAATTTGTTTCCATTGCCAAAAAGTTGAAAAAAAAAATTTCTTAAAAAAATTTTTTTTTATCAAAGTTTAGTGTTCGTTCGGCTTTATTTTACATGAAAATTGTCCATTAAAGTGAATTTTTTTTATAATTGGTTATGATATTTGTTTCCATTGTCAACAAAAAAAAAAAAGACATCAGACCTGGAAAAGGCTTTTCCACCAAAATTTTCCATAAATCCAAGGAAAGTAGGCGCGTGGGTGGAGGAAACAATTTTCTTGGCCAAATTTGTCCAATCAAACACTACATTTTGACAAAGTTGGAAATTGATTTCCTTTTTCCTAGGAAAAAATGGTCCATCAAGCAGGGCCTAAAGGAAAAGAAGTCATGATGCGGGCATATACAGTCAATTATGCTATCGTATTTTCATCTTCAAGTCAAAACAAAGGTGGCATAGGTTTAGATAAAGATGGAAAATGCGTTACAGAAGTCTAAAAATGCACCATTTGATCTACAAATACATCTTAAATGATGTAATCTCGAGTTAATAATTAAATAATATAATATACAAGTTTATGGACAACCTAAAATAATAATACAGCGTAAGATTGTACATGAATTGTAGTATACCAAGGATTTTAATGAACTCAATGCTGTTTTGCATATAACCTCGATAGAAGGCAAAGGGTGAACAAATATACACCATTGTTTCAACATCTTAGAAGGTCAAACATGCAAGCTTATATTTGGAATGGCAAAAATGTACAGATTCTCGATGAAAACAACAATCTAAGTCTTATTCAGAATAAATTTGTGGTCGTCTATGTGGATCCTTTTTCGACGTTCTTTTTGGTTCATTGCTAGATCATTTAAAGAATGAGACCCCTTAGCAACTAATATGGCGTGTTAGTTTTGGTCAACCCCTACCCCCTCCCAAAACATTCTGACTCGTTCTACAAAATCGCATCACTATTATGAACACGACTACACGAGTCAATTTAGGTTGACAGAAAACATGAGGCAACCCCCCAAGTCATCATTTCCCTTAATTTATCTTCAAAAGGAGCCACCTGAACTTGATTCGTATATTCTCATTTCTTATCTTATCCAT